CTATAAATACTTAGATAATTAAACTAGGGAATTTAACTAGGTACCATTTTTCTAACGATCTACTGTTTGGGACCTTAAGTTATGTCACTTAGTAAATATAACTTAGCAATAATATAACTTACTTTTTTCTTTTCGGTTCAACTATTCGAAATATTAGAGAATAACTATACACGGCTCGAACCCACATACACATGGATTTAGCCACTCCGGATTGATACGCTACTGTTTTTGGAACAAATTCCGGATTGTCTATGTAAGGTTTAATTAGATTAATCATTTTGTCTGATATGTTATCTGTATCATATTCTTGTAGAGTTTTTAGAAAATTGCTATCCCCTAAAACAAGTTTAGCTGAAGCCCAATCAGTTCTAATAAAAATATGCAAATATAAAAATTATGTACCTCCAACCTATCATAAAATTCAATTACTTTTTTCCCAACAATAGACATACAGCTTCCATAACAGTTTGAACAAGTTTAGGAGGCTTATTAAACACCCTTAGTTCATTTATATCTTTTTTGTTTAGGGCCTCTAAAGCCGCTTTAGCTGCGATCATTGCCGGCATAGCTAAGGCTAAATCTTTCTGTGCATCTTCAGCAATKGCTTGTGCAGCATCAGCTTTTATTTTCGCTGCAGATTCTTCCAAAAGTACTACTTCTCGCACTTTATCTACTTCTGCTTTTTCAATTGTTAGATTTTCCATTAGTTTCAATGAAGCTTCGTTTTTTTCAAATAGTACTGGTTCCATTGCTTTTAATTTTTTTTTCATCTCTCCTACCATATTGAAAGTTTCATACAATTTTCCTAACCCTTTTGAAATACGGTMAGATTCACCTTTAATCTTATTGGTTTGTAATTCATGCATTTTTAAGTACAGTTTTAAAAACTCCAAGTAACTTTTAGGCGTTACGTAGTAGTGTCTTCTCATTTGATCGTAAAATTTTGTTGTTGCTTCGCTAACTGATTCATACATACTGTTACAAATGTTTGTTAGATTAGTAATCAAATTTCCGGTTTGTGAAAACATCCCTAAGCTGTTATGTGCTACAGATAATAGTGCTTCTTTTGGCCAGTCATCAAACCAATCGATCGTTGAGTTGTTTACTAATGAAGGGAATAAACGACATCTTCGTCTAAAAGCATCACCAATCGGACTCATAGATATTACGAGATGGAGTTTAGAGCGTACCCTCTGTATAAAATATCTAAATATTGCATCACGGTTCTCACTACTGATTCCTGACTCAACAGCTGCTGATCGACAAGCAACAATGACCTTCTCCAGGTCATCATGTTTAAACAGATTTGGTACATCCCCTTGAATAAATTAAAAATGAGTATTGCTAACTCATAGTCAATTTAATATTAATTTAAAATGTTTTACCAGAGTTTAATATATTGTTTATATCTTCCAAAAATACTTCTTGTACAATTTGATTRTCTGTGAACAAGAACGTCGTGTCTTCGAATTTTGCACCAGTTTTATAATAAAGATTAACTAAATCTTCGTGGAAAGTAGTATGATCATACGATTTTGTTAACTCTATTTGAAAACATCTAAATATGAAATATTTTAAAATTGAATACTTATATTCAGATTGTTTTTATGTTTTTATTAATATACAATACGTACTTGTAATCATTAATATGTGATGCCAATTTAGTCAGTGATTGTTTTCCCATACCACTAACTCCAACAAGTAAAGCATTTCCTCTTTCAGATCTCAATATCCTTGCTATACGAGTTATGTGCTCGATGGCATCCATAAAAAATATTATATTCATGTCTTTATTATATACCATATTGTAATCCATTAAATTTTCAGTCAACACTTTTTTTAATTTTACAATATCGGTTATTTCTTCGTAAATTCGATTCTCATTAGAACTAGGATTCATGAAATCGCCAAATATTAACATAGGAGGCCGCGTTAAATTTTTGTCAGAGTTAGAAAATTCTAACACTTTTGTTTCAAAATAACTTTTGCACACGCTTTGAAGAAGATTGTGAAAATATGATCTATCTTCTTGACAAACTAAACGATCGTGATAAACACGCAATGTTTCATGATACCATAGTCTATAAAAGAAATAAATTTTTATTGATATATGATTATACATATTAAGTTATARTTAAAACATACCTTAGTAATTGTTTTCGATCGGGAACTGTGACAAAATCCGCTTGCAATACTCCTTGTATAGTCTTTGACAAATCTCTAAGATTAAATACATAATGTGACTTTGCAGGAGTAGGTAATAGATCTTCTGATATACGTAAATACACATCGATACTAGCTTCTACTACTTCTTGGCACGAATTAGCTATAACCTGTGGGAATTCTTCAAAAAACCCATTCAAAATGGAAGAAAATATAGTTCTCATAGCACTTTCACTTGTAGTTGGTATGAATATCATAGAAAAATGCCTTGTGAATCTCGGGGTTAATGGATTTCTACCTCCACCCGGAGGTGCACAAATAGTACACAATATTAAATTTTCTATATATTTCCAATCCAACTTATCTCGATCGTACATGCCCCCACAATCCAAAATTTGTCTTAGTAATTCAATAGGTGGTTGAGCTCCATAGACTTCTGGCTTTGGCATGTTGACGTCATCAATAAAAATCGCCAAACGTTTATTTCCTGGTGCACCAAAATGATTTCGTTTTTTCTTTATCAATTTTGATTCTAATATTTCTTGAGTTCTATTACTACTGGTTTGAGCAGAAAAATTTATTATTCCAGTTATCCAATCATCTGTGGTTGTCAAATTTTGCATAACAAAATTTGCGACTGATGTTTTTCCAACCCCTACAATAATCACGTAGTTATATTATTATATTATTAATAACAAGATCTATAATTTAGTCAAATTTCATACTCCTTTACCTGTTATTCCAGTTAGCATTACTGGTTGATTCATTTGTACTAGCCTTTGCATTACATATGCGTATCGAATGCTATCTACTGTAGGTACTAGTAACTCAAAATAAGGTGTATCTGCATTATAAACAAATTTTGGAACAATAGTATCCCAATTTTCGAATGATTTAGTTACCGTGTTTAGGTACATATCAAATAATTTAATTCCAGGTGAAATGGAAAATTCGGAGTGATTTTCAAATTGATTAAAAACTAAATATTCGAATTTTTTTTGAGAAGAATCATCTAAATTTGATCCCAATGACCACAAATATGAAAATATAAATGATTGGCAAATATAATTTTGAATTTTTGAATTTTCTGTTTCAGCATCAAAAATGTCTGGGTCGGTGAATAGGGATTCGATAACAGTACACATCATAGTCACTTTACTAATTTCAACCTAAATTATAGTTTGAAAATGTATTTGTGATGGTTAGGTTAGGTTAGGTTAGGTTTATTCTACTTTTATTGAAGTTCTATCTTGGTGGAAATATACCTGTTTAATTGGAGCCAAACAATGTTTGTTAATAAATGAAAAACCTTCGTACACATAAGTTTCGAATAGTTTCAATAGATATTTTTTTATTTCCTCGCTATTTTGAATTGCGTTATTTTTCAATCTATTTATCCACGAACGTACATATGGCAACCATCCTAGTTCAGCTGCGTCTACGTAAACCATTCCACATCTACTAACTGTCGCCGGTGACGCTTGTGACAAGTCACCAACTTCAAAAATCATTCTAACCTGAAAATGATTTAGTATTATAATTAGGTATTATTGTAGCGTCCCAGCATACAGGAGGACGAACGACTTGTGTTGAAGTAGATGGATTGAGTGAAATATGTATAACAAATTGTTTGGTGATTAATTATTAGATATTTATTTGATTATGATGTGAATAAAACACTATTATTGAACAATAATGATTTAATTCAAAAATATTCTAAGTCCGAATAATTAAATTGGACTGGTGTCTGGCGTGAAAGTGCTTGCACTGACTCTGGTGGCTCACGTCTGAATTGGGTCTAATCGGGGCTCTCCTATATAGCCCATATAGTCCTACTCCCTGCGTTTCCTCTCCTATCTATAAGATAAGTATGTGTCCATGGCCGAGTCGTGCAAAAGCGTAGGCCTGTATTATTCTAATATCGCAGCTTCCCACGCCCGTGCGACCGGTCGGTCCACATCCTGTTTATTCGTGATACGTAATCTCRATAACCCGATGACATTAATCATATCTCTAGATACTCCTGTCAATACTACAATTTCGTAAACTAATTCCAACTATGGTGATATTTTGGAAGGGCTAGTAGTTTGGCCTTCGATACAGCTATTGAGGTCCTACACAATTTAACCGGTGGCAGAAATCATACGCCCCAGGGACACTTATGTATATCTACGTGTATATGCGTATTTAGGTGTCTCAGCGGGACGACGGTACATAGCATTATTTTAAAAATAATTATTTATTATAAGCCCTACCCAAGAGCTCAATTTTATGCGTTCTGAATTGGCTAGGCATAATATTTTGTTATCATCAAGTACAGTATTAAGGTTCTCGATCCATATTGCGTCTACAGGGCCATCACATACTACCCATTGAAATATTTCTTTTGCTGTTTGAACTGTTTCTCTTACAAATTTTCCGAGTAATCCATCTCTCCATTCCATGGTTTGGAGATTTACTTCACCGTAAAGTTCACTCATAGTAATAGCTTTGGGATTTAGTTGGTATATTTTTACCGGTCTGTAATATTGTTCTTCTATTTTATTATTGTAAAGTTCTGTTAATGTTTTACTAAGTATTTTTAAAACGCTTGTCTTTCCACCACCAGTAGGACCAACAGTCATGATACCATGTCGTACAATTATTGTCTCTAATAGCTGTATAACTTTTACATAAATACATTCTTCAATTTGATAGCCATAATTTTCCATCACACGTTTGGTTGTGGATAGGAACATTCCATAATCTTGTTCTGGTAAGACAACTCCAGGAAATAAATCATTTAATATACCCTGAATATTTAAATTATGTTATACTTCTTATAATTATATTTTAATGTTACATATAATTCTATATTTACCTGGAAAAGTATAGCATCATCTTTTAGGAATTTCGGCAAATTACTATCTCTCAAAGCTCTAATTAAAACTAAATTTTCGTTGATGAAAGGATTTTGTCGTTTTAATGAACCTGCCATTACTAAAACGCTTTTTACAGCCCTTTACAACAGATGATAAATAGCTTGTGATAAAAATTATTATTTTAAAATCAAAATAAATTAGGATTACCTCATTCCAAAATCATAATGGTCCTGAATAGAAAGCTGTTCACTACATAATTTATACATTTTTACCATTTTTTGAGACAACATTTTTGATGACTCAAAACCTTCAGAGTACAATATAACTTCAGCAATCAAACCATAGTCCGGTACCATCATTGCCATTGGTCTAAATAATGCTTGTAAATTATCTGGTAATTCACTTCTTCCAGCATATCCTGGATTCATTGTTATGAATGCTGCACAAGTTTTCACAAGTCTAATCTCACGACCTTCAAACATGAATTTAGTGGCATTTATCAATTTTGCATTCATGATAGTTATCAGTTGTTGCGCGATGACAGATAAGACTTCAATCTCTATACGGTTAAATTCGTCAAAACAACACCACGCTCCTGATTGAGCCAAGCCGGAGAAGAATTTACCCATCATCTGCAAAATGGTTCATTAATTTTTTTCTGCATAACTAATATTTGGTCCATGTATTTTTTACCTTATAATCTAAACCATCAGAACAGTTAAATACAACACATTGTGTAGCTAATGCTTTTGCAAGATCCTTGGTTGTTTCAGTCTTTCCAGTACCTGCAGGTCCAGCTGGTGCACCACCTAAATTTAACTGAAGTGCACCCATCAAACACAAGTAACATTTGTCAGTTAACGGTGTAATGACTAATCTAGGAGATGCACCCAGGTATTCAAATGCATATAGCCAACGAGCATTGGCCATGAATGCAACACAACCATCCACAGTATCCCAATAATAGCGAAGCTGTTTTAGCCATTCAAAATTTAAATCACTGTTGATCTTATGGATTACCATAGTTGATATTATATCCCTCGCGTGAACGTCTATTGTAATCAATGAGCAGATTACGGAACGTTGAAGTGCAGTTAAACGTCCTCGAACCATAGCTGCTAAATTATTCAAGTCCTGAAATAAGAAATACATYATTAGTATAAGACAATTATATCAATTGTATTTATTGACAAAGATACTTAATTTAAAACATTTTTGTTCAAATTCAACCATTTTTTCTTGTATGTTAGAGTTTAGATTAAGGATTTTATGGACGTTACGACACCACATCATCTGAGATACCGCAATTATGAGCTTTAAAAAAATATTTTATTTAATTCTCAGTAGGTAATTAATATGYTAAATTATATAAATTGCAACCTGAGCAGCGTGTAACAAAACCCATTTTTCTCTAGGAGTTTTGTCATAATCTCCCATGGCTATGAACATGGATGTCCGCAATGTATTTACCATCTCCTTTTCTACTCTTGTTAGCCAATATTCAACGTTCCCAGTTGCTTTAACCTGTGATGCAAATTTGACGATTTCTCTTTCTGGTGATATCATGGAAATAATGTTGGTTGGTGAGCTATCTTCTTTATCGGGGGTTAATGGGTTTCCTTCCTTATCATCGTTTTTAAATTGTATTCTCCAAATGGCGTCGAAACATTTGTTCATGTGTGGCTGTACAGCTCTTGTATTCCGTGCTTGAGCAATTATTTCTATGAGCTCATCATTTGACAGGAAATAAAACCGTGGAAATATAACTCTCTTTGATTCTAAATATGCTTCTAAATATAACATGATTTGTTCTAATTGTTCATTATTTTTGATGAGAGTTTTTAGGAGATTAGTATCGGTACAAATGCTTATAGCCAAAGGATTTTTTTCAGCTTTCAGCATTATTGCCTTCCATGAACTATTTACTTGACTAAACAATGAAGCTTCATTTGGAAGCTGCCTTTGTATGTCTGGAGCAGAAAATATCGATTCCAAATAAATCCAATTATTCTGGCACATCATCCATTCCGTCTATAGATAATAAATATATAAATAATATATTTATAAAAAAAATGTATAATATAAATAATTGTATAAGTTTCAAACAGATTTATTGAATATACAATTCATGTATAATTATGCAATTACTAAATTACTTACTAGAACTTCATTCATAATGTTCATAGATTTTATCCATTCTTCAACTCTTGWTTTTATCATAAGTACATGTTTGGATGAAATGAGGGTATTCAAATTCATATTCGCTTCTTCTAATGTTAACTGAACTTCTTCCAATGATCCAAGTATAAAAATATCATTTGTATTTTTATAAGGAAGAATAATTAAATCTACTATTTTCCAAGAATCTTCAATTTTTTTTAATATTGCTTCTAAAGTTGCTTCAGAACTTGCCTGTCCAGAAATTTCCATTATTTCAGTACCATAAYTGAACACGTCTAATTCTTCAAGCATTTTTAGAGTAAGCGTCTGGTTAGTTGGGAATTTTGTTCCAAGAAGTTGCTCAACTTTTATCCAATGATGGTTTTTAAGATTAGGATTTCTTAACATTGCTATGATGGGCATTTTTGACTTAAAAGTGTGTACTTTTTCTTCAATTAGATTTATAAGTTCACATTCAGGAATATTTTTTGTAAATTGCACAACATATTTTAAATTTAATGCTAAGAAAGTATTCATTTGTTCTACGTCTAAATTATGAAAATTGTCTGTTTCCCAAATAGACATATTTTTTTCCCATTCGGTTAAACTATTCCTAAGCAATATTCTGAGTCTCACTGCTTCACTAGCCTCTGTTAAAAGATCAACATTTGTCATCTCCACGCGGAAATAACGTTGATAAGACTTATATAAGTTTGATTCTATTTGAAGTTCTGCCAATTGTTCACTAAGTTGAGATAATGAACTTAAGACATGTTCCACATCTGAATTAATATCAATTAACCATGGTTCCTAAAAAAATAAACAAAATTAAAATATAAATATTATGTAATTTCGATTATTATTACCTGAGCTTCAATATTAATTTTTTCTACTTCTCGAAGCATGTCTTTTATTTGAGCGTCGATTGTGTTGACGAAATTATCAATGAGGTTATCTTGATCATTATAAATATCATCAAATTCTATTCGTAAAGTAGTTAGCTCTTCTGAGAATTTCTATAAATAAATATTATTATTATTTTTGAATTAATAACRCAATTATAGTACAAATATTATTAACATCATAATTATCAATATCCTCTTCAGAAATAAGTATTTCATATTCTTCAGCTAATTCGTAAAGTTCYTTAACATAATTTAGTTCGATATCTAATTCTTCCAACTGAAATAGAAAACACTTGATTAATATTTTTAACATATTCTTTTTATTTTTTAATAATAAATTATTCAAATGCGAACCCTTTTAGAATATATTTGTAAAAATTTGTTGTAAGCTACATATTGAGCGGCGTTAGTTGGAGTGGTGAAGAGGTATYCAAGGGATTCATTTATTTCAATTAATAGTTTTTTTACCAATTGTTTTCCCACTCTATATAATACAATTAATAATTAAATATAACTTATCCATTAATAATTTTCTAAATTAATAATAACATACTTAGCCAGTGTCTGCTCTACTAGTTCTAATAATAAATTACACGTAGGTCTAGCAATATTTTTCAATAAATGGAATTTTAAATTAAACATGCCTATCATTTGATTGGAATTTATTTTATTTACATCGTATAGTTGCTGTTTGTATTTATCTAACATTTTTCTAAAATTSGTCAAACCTGTAAAAAACAATACTCATTTTGATATAAGAAGAGAGATCTTAATTTTATATTTACTGGTTTCGTTTTGGATAATCCCTCGATCCAAGTCTTCATTTTCTCTATAGATATTATAAACGTATTCCATTCGTTTTAAATACTTAAGAGCTGCTTCAAAATTTATTCTGATATAATTCAATATTTTTTCCATAGTTAACTTATATTCTTCATCGATATCAAACAGAAACTGTAATTTTGGCCCATCACCGCACAGTCGATCGGCTATTTTACCACGGACTAAGGGACTAAGATAATTGTTTTTACCATCAATCATAGCGGTAAGTTGTATATAATTTGAGGTACTTAACAATATCATTACTATAAGACTCACCGCGTAAAACTGTTGAACTCGTCATCATCCAGGAGTGGAGTAAAATGAGAAACCATTATAGATTTCCAGTCTTCCATTAAAAACGAAACGTACGTCGTGTAATCATTTAGGGAGTAATTGAACTCAATACCAGTTGTTGTTAAATAAACTTCGAATATGAACAATGGAGACTAATGGGATAACAATAATCAAAGTCGTGTATGAATAAGATATTATAATATCATCAGGTGGAAATAAGCCCTCATCTATTCAATACCTTAGGATCATTTAAAGACCTATCATCTTCTAGTGCGATTTCAACGTCAGTTCCGGTTAGTAAATCGTCACTAGGAATGTACTTATAGTGTTTGTACACGTCTGCCTCAAACCGTATAATTTGTTTTTGAATGAACTTGTGTAAATTTGTTTGTAAAAAAAAATCAATGCACGTGATAAAACGGCATATTCGCTTGCAAACTTTCAGTTTGAACCTCTGCCGTCCGAACGGCATGTTATATAGTATAGAGTCTAAATCAAGAGAGTCCTTATTGTTGTTATTAAATTCTGCATCGTTAATAGTGAATCCAGTTTCTTTCAGCACGTCTTCGCATGCGATTAACATCAATGTTTTGATTGTCGAATGAAAGTCTTTTAAGGTCTTAATAGCTGTACTGGTACTCTCCTTCTAAAAATGTTACGCACAAAATTAAATGTTACATGGAGTATTCATATATAATAAAGGGTGTCAATTCACGCTGTTTGGAGAGAGAGACCGCCGCCCCACACGGTCRTGGCAGAAACCTACGGATGCTCACTAGAAATTCTGGRATATGGTATTTTGCGTCACTTTTATTACTTGTAATTTGCGCCACGAATAGGTACATTTAAGTACGTATGTAATTTGCGCCACATATACTAATTAATTTTGGTATTTTGYGCCACTAAAGAAAACAAAATGGAATATGTAATTTGCRCCACACTTTCAACTTTAATAGCAGTTGGAATTTACCAGCAGATAAATTTAGCGATATCGCATAGGATATACAATAATACGTTCTGATGCGTCCGACACGTGTCACATATCGTCTCAATATCGTAGAATTATTTATAATTATGACTGATTTTTATATGTTTTATTAATTAACGACAATTTAGATGTTTAATATGCATGGAGTTTGATTTTTTATATACATTTATTTATAATTACGAGTTTAATATGACTGATTTTTATAATRTGTTTTATTACTTAACGATAATTTACATATTTAATATACATGGAGTTATTTATATTATTATAATATAAGTGGCGCAAAATACTATTTTAATAAGGTGGAAAAAAGCGCAAATTACAATTTTAGTAGGTACCTACTCTAGGGCACAGATTACATAATTCCTTTTTATTTAATTTTATTTGGCGCAAATTACAAATTTAAAAAGTGGCGCAAATTACCAAAATACATTTTTAGATGTAGTACAAATTACACATATATATTTTTTTTTTGGTTGATTTTGACGCAAATTACATACGCCCGAAATTCTACCAAAAATACACACATACGTGTACCAAAAACCTACCCTACTTAAAAATCCTACAGTACCTTCCCTACACCCAATGGCCTATGTTGCCRTGGGTTTACTAAAAAAAATAAATAAATAAAGGKTGTGATCAGTGGCGTAATTAAAAGCTAGGTCACAAAAATGTGTGTTTTGTCATAAGAACAAATTATTAAAAACAATTATGACTTATAGGCCAATATAATTTTGAGTTAGATGGAGAGAGTCCCTAGATAATGGAATATTTCACAAATATGAAATCCTTTTTAAAAATTCATATTGTACATTGTCCAAATCATTTATATATGTCAAATATTTGCATGACCAGATTACTGAGCTGAAATCAAAATCAGGTACATGGTTTTTAAACATAACGGATTTTTAAAATCTTTAGTGTTTCTATTAATAAAGCCTAACATCTTGAGCGATTAACTAATTATCATAATATAATGATTCGTTTCAAAAAAAAAGATCACTTTCAAAATAAATGCCAAGATCTTTGATTATATTTACTCTAGTGAGAGGACACAATTCAATATTATGGTTAAAAAGATTGGATTTTTTTTATGTGTAAATGATATCGTATGACATTTATCAATATTTAACGGTAATAAATTTAATTTACTCCATTATTAAATTTATTAAGATGTGACTGGAGATATTTAGCATAATTTAAAGAATTAACTGTACAGAAAATAATCCGCGAATAGTTAAAGGTTTATAGAAATATCAATGACTATAGTGGGAGATCATTATAAAAATTAAAAATAGTAAAGGACCTAAATGGCTGCCCTGAGGAACACCTGATAAGACAGGATAATCATCAGAAACATAAGACATAATTTTAACTACTTGAGTACGATCAGAAAGATACGA